TATATATATATATATATATATATATATATATGTATGTGTGTGTGTGTATGCAAACTACTAAATTACATTCTTACATTTTTTTTTTCACAATTTGTAAAACTGTGTGCAGCAGGTCCAAATTAAATAAAGGATAACTTACATATTTTTGTCATACTTATAGTTTATTCATAAGGATATAAGGATATACCAGAATAAGAGAAACAGTTTTATATTGAAAAAGAATGTTGTTAAAGGTTATAAGAGTTTTCGACTGTCTAAATTAGACACCAGGAACTTTAGTAAGTAAGTAAGTAAAGTTTATTTATAGAGCGCTTATCACAGACATAAAATCACAAAACGCTGTACAATAAAATCTATGCTAAAATATACAAAGAATAAGAGCTTCAAGAAGCACAATACAATCATGACACAAAACCCTGGGAGAATAAAAGTGTTCTCAGTTGCTTTTTTTAAAAACCTCCACAGAGTCAGCAAAACGAAGCTGCAGGGGCAAACAGTTCCACAGCCTTGGGGGCCACTGACTGAAAGGCCCTGTCCCCCTTCGTTTTCAGCTGCGTACATGGAACATCCAAGATGTTCTGTGTCTTGGAACAAAGGCCACGAGCAGCAGAGTATTTGGTTAAAAGCTGACAAAGTCACACAGGAGCTTGGCCATTTAAAGCTCTGTACGTCAGCGCAAGAACTTTGAAACTGATTCTAAACTCAACTGGGAGCCAGTGTAGTGAATATAGAACCGGAGTGATGTGACAGTATTTGCTGGATTTGGTGAGAAGTCTGGCAGCTGTGTTCTGTATTGCTTGTAAACGTGAAACAGAAGACTTGTCCAGGCAGGTAAAAAGGGCATTACAGTCCAGACGCGATGACACAAAAGCGTGAATAATTTTCTCTAGGTCAACTCTGGAGACCATAGGTCGTATTTTAAAAATGTTTCTTAAATGAAAGACACAAGAGCGGGAAATAGCCCTAATGTGTGAATCGAAGCCTAATGATAAGTCAAATGTGACTCCTAGATTTTTTACTTTTGATTTTGCTACAGGGCAAAAAGAGGCAATTTTCTGATTGATTTTTGGATGAAGGATGAACTTTACTGGGGAAAAAAAAGAAACATAGTATTTGAATTTACAAAGCTGAGTGCAACTTCCTGAAGTCCTATTATGAAAATTACGGTACTGTGCATACAAAGTTAATTTTCAACAGGTGGCTTTTTTACCACAGCTAAATATTTTCATCAAGAAAAAAAGAAGACAAATAGCCACTGAACCTCTTACACACTCTTTTTTTTTTTTTTGTAGTGCACAAAAGAGGTGTGGGCATATAAAAAATAAATGAAGAACCACACTCATGTGATGTGATGTTTTTACTTCCTGGTTTAATCTTTAAAACAAAAAAGTAACACCCAAATGATGCAAATTTCCTATTTATATAATTTCCTTTTAAGTGATGTGTGCAGTCCATTTAAAGTGATGCCTCAAGCAATGTCACACACAAGCCAAGATTATTGAATACAAGCAATGATTTCACTACAGTACTACTGTAATTATCAATTTTTTTTTTATTTAACTTTATTTTCCCACTGGTATAAATTTATGACCAACGACAACATACTGTGTTTCGTATTTCAACATCAGAAAAGGAAGAGGGACCGCACTTACCCATTTACTCAACTTTATGAAAAGAAGCATTTTCAAATATCTTCTTAAAATTATCAAACAAAACAAACACAGTCACACTCTTGTATGGACACTACTCAACCACCATTTATCTCATATTAGGGTGAATTTAAAAAAATAGAATATCATAAATGCAACAAGCATTAAAGGCCTAGCATTACTTGAAAACAACATATCTCCTGCTGCCTTTTAAGCCAGAGTTTAAAACAAATGCTCATCTTATGAGACAGGACGGAATTATAGCCGTTTTGCACAAACTTTGTAAACGATATTGTGAACAATCTTGTGTAATATTGCAAGATCTTGCATGATGCACTAGTGTCTAAAGTATTTGTTAAAATGATTCTCATATATTACCACATCAAGCTTTAGTTCATTATCTGTAAAATTAAACGAGTTACTTATTTTTGAATTGGCTAATATTGGTTTGTTGTGGTGGCTATATTGAACCGAGTTGACTCCAAAAGTCAAAGAGTTGGAGACATACATCCTATGATTACTTTCTGAAAGTTTCATTAAAATCCATCCAGCAGTTTATGAGATATTTTACTAACAAACAGGCAGAGATGCTTGCAATAGTTAAAGGCAAAGTTTTAAAAGCAACTCTTGATGGATCAGATGGCACTAAAGAGTCTGTGTCGAGGATAAGTGTCAACTACTAACAAAGTTTTATCTGTAACACTAGCTGAGTTATAGTCATTTTGGAGTTTGTTAAGGCTGTATGTGGCAGTCATCTTTAATAGACTAGATGATAGTTAGATAGATGTATACTTTATTGTCCCTGAGGGGAAATTTGTCTTGGCCATCGTGCACTAGCAAAGCTTCTTCCACAATTAAATACACTACAACCAATAAAATCATGTGAACCCCATAATAAAATCCAAAAATATAAAACACCTATTAATAAAATCACACAATTCAATAAAAACACATATTGCACATTCTCACATACATTCCAGCAATTAAATGACACAACAATGAGACCAGAGCATCAGTGCACAACAACAACAACAACAACAACAACAACAACAACAACAACAACAAC